CTCCTATTGCCTGCAGGGTCAAGTGTGTGTCCGGTCTCACCCCTGTCACCCTCCCCAAAACTTCCTCAACGAAACCCACGGCGGTTGCGAAACGCCGCCGAGCAGGAGGAGGGGACAGCCCAGGGCAGGGCGGCTTCGCGGTGACACCAGCGTGGGCTGGGAGACACTCGGCTGCCTCCCTCCATCCCGGCACTTGGGGCGCTCGGCCCTGCTGCGCGTTGCTCCGCAAACCCCTGCAGACCCAGGCCCTGCTGCTCCAGCCACCCAGCCCCACGCAGCTCTGCGGGTGCAGATGTGGGCGCAGATGTAGGTGCAGGTGTGTGGATGTAGATGCAGGTGTGGGTGTCACACGGGTAGGAGAGTGTTAAGGTGGCTGGCGCTTGGCTGCACCGCGGATTTCTGCGCTTTTGGGTGGCAGAGCCGCATGGAGAGCTCCATAATCCGGGATTTCAGCGATTTAGGATTTAAATGTTAAATACGCAGGGAGATTTCTGCCCACTTAGGGCCTGAGGTGGAACGAGGGCAGTGTGCCCTGCCATGCCTTGCGCCGTGCTGTGCCATGCTGCAGTGTGCTGGGCCGCATGGCGCCATGGAGAGGGACACCCAGAGCCACCCCAGGGCTCCGTGGTGCTCGGGGCTGCTCCAGGTGCCTGGGTGGGAGCGCAGGGAGCCATCGGGCTGCAGCTGGAGCCCCTGAAAACCTGCAGGGACAAAGGAAATGGGGCTGCTCTCCAGCTCGGGTGGCTTCGAGGTCTATCTGCAGGTTGGCACATGAGAGGCGGCCGGAGGGGCATGTGGTCCCGTGTTGCCGCCTGTGCTGCGGTGGTGGCAGGGGTTGCGGTGGTGGCAGGGGGTGCTGCAGGGCACCCCGTCGGGAATGCCCCGTTGCTAGGGAACAGGCAGCAATTTCGCCATGCAAGTCACGCGCCGGATTCCCGCAGCTCCCTGGGGGCCGCGGCGGTGCCCGCGCCTGGTGGCAAAGCCGAGGGGGACCCTGTGCCAGCTG